GGGGGGGGGGGGGGGAGCGAGCGCGTAACTGTGTGCGTCGTCACGTACATGGCTCAAGGTAACTTTCAGTCGCATTCCATTCACGCGTCGCGTAGTATCTGTAGCTCGCTACGACAATAACGCCGAACAATCCAGAATGCGAATTAATACAATCGCTGATTACTCCACTTGTAGACATCGTAGCGACTTGAAACAAACGTCACTGGAAAGAGGAGGTTGCCGCGCTTTCGATGGATGTAAAATTCCTTCTGTGTGGATCACCTAGCGTAATCATGTGAGTACGAAAGACATTGGCTTTTGTGTTCTTTTTTGGTTTATGTGCTTTGTGTGGTTTTTGTGTACAATGTTCTCTCCATGTAACATGATGAGAACAAATTATAAAAAGGAAATAACTGAAATCTCCGAATTTTGAGGGAAAAAAATGGAAATTGTGATGACTCGTTATTTCTTGAGTAATAATCACAATAATAGATTATTTTTCAAATAATAACGATAACGGTAGAAAGTTACTTTGAAAACGTTTCTTTGAAAAGTTATTTTGAAAACTTTTAACTTTGAATTAGGATAATCTCCGCGTAATGTAAGATTCGGCGACGTGACATTGGACATTTGTGTTCGCTTTAAAGTGAACATTGATTGTTAGTCAGTGTTGAAAATCAACGGAAAATCTTGGTTTAAATTTGCAATGCGCAGCGTCGATTTAAAAAATCTAAAAAATAAAAAATATTTATTCAGTGGATGCTAATAACATATTATTCAAATCCAAATTCTATTTAATTAAATAGAATAAATTGCTCTTATGAAAAGCTGAGGTTTAAAAAAAATGTATATTTTCTTATTTGAAAAATATTTTATATTAGTATGAAAGTAAACATGTTATTAGTACCCATCGAGAATAAATACTTTTATGTCTTGTTTTCTCTGTAGGAGTGCATTATCTTTTTCTTCTGTTAATAAAGAATGATATCAATTATACAAAAATGAACTAGAGATTACGCTGAATTATCTAAATATCTAATCGCGACAGACAGTGTTCGGATACACTGATTTGCTTTCAACGATTTCTACGCACAGTAAAGTCCGAAATATGCTACGTTATTTACTTGACACTTGGATTTACTTAACTTTCGCATTGTGACGCGCATTTAATCAGCTCGCGCGTCGCGCGTTACGGAAACCGGATTCTTGTACAAGTACGGGAATGATCGATCGAAAAGCCGCGATTATGCACGGCGAACTTTATCTTCGATCCATATTAGGAACCGTTGTGACGCCTTTCATCGATCTCGCCGCGAAACCCCCACGGAGATGACGTCACACATCCGTCATGTACCCCCACGCGGTGGATGTTTCAGAGACGGGAGAGGAAGTCGAGCATTTCGCGTATAGAATCTCGTAGCGCTCCTGTCGGAGGACCAAGTGCTACGTCATTGACACACTTCCACAACGTTAATCTCGACGATCTCGTCGTTCAAAAGACCTGTATGTTCGATCCTTCCCCGATAATATCTGATAACGCGCGTATGCGATGCACACGTTGCGCACAGGATGTGCTTCCTTCGTGCTCCGCAGCACGATATTGAGTTCGCTTCCTTTCAGCCGGGCCAAGTTTAGAGCTAAGTTCGTCTTGCACGCTTTCGCGCCGAGAGCATCGCATTGTGTCTTCCTGCGGTATGTAATGAACTATAAAGATAGAATGATGCTTTTTTTCAGCACGAAAGTTTGCAAGACGAACTTAGCCTATGAATCTTGGCCTGCGAATGCAGGCATCTGTCGCGATGCGTTCAATTCACTTTAGCGCTGAAGAGACTTTTCGACGTGCTCTTACGTGATTCACGTCGTGTATCCTTGACGAGGGTAAACGCCAGGACTATACACGCGCGCGGGGGATAAGGAGGCGTCGTGACGTGTCGCTCCATTCAGTCGAGCGCCTCTTGTGACGATGCAAAGCGTTGAAATAGCGTCGACGTCATTCGCGACTCGTCTCGATACCGTAAAAG